CACTTGCGCTCGAGCACACCTTGCCCGCCGAACACGTTGGACAGGCTACAACATCCACATAATACATTTTACTCTCTCCACACTATTTATTCTATTGAATATATTTTTTAACACCAAGCCGAAGTATGATGTTTTTTAGAGACTTACGTAAGCATCCCGCGGGTCCGAAGCCGTAGTACCCAGGTAAGCAGTGGTCGCAGCGCGTGCCGCCGGCGCCACGCGCACATGCACATGCCCCCGTAGCGGGATCGCAGGCCGCAGCACCCGCGCCGCATTCGCAGCGCCGGCACCCGCCAACCTCCAGACCCCAGTACCCTTCCTGCACGTCACACGCCTCTATGATAACTCGGTATTGATGGTTCTCAAGACAGGATTCATGAGAATATTTTATCAAGAATTACAAAATAAATTCCATTTTACATTGCGATTATAAACATTGGACAATAATACCTGTGACAAAAGATTTCAAATAGTTTATCTAGAGCGTGCTTGGCTTAGTTTCACCCGTAAAGTAAAAAAGAGCGTTTAACAGAAAGCAAAAAATTAAACAAAACAATAGTTTTACAGTCATTACATTGTGTACCTTCTGATTTGTCTATAAATCATAGATACGCAGCGTTTCTAACGCTTAAGTAAATATTCTTTTTCCAATTAATAAACTCCATCAATCATTGTATTAAAGCAGAGTTTATTAAAAGTAATGGCTGTCTATGGTCAATTTATGAGACAATTTGAAGCAATCGACAATACAGCAGTGCGGGGGGGGGGAGACCTACCGCAGCGCAGGCAATCGATCTCAGTTCATCTGTCTCAACGTATTATGTAAAGTGTAATTCATATCCTTTTGATTGTCAGGACTTTGAATTTATTACACAGCGCGAAAATTACTATATTAAAGCTATTTTAGGATGTCTGAATAAGTAATTGACAAAGATATGAAAATTATATAGCGCGCAGCAGCATTAGCTGACAAGTAAAAGATGGAAAGGGTAAGTGGAATGTGGGTGGTGGGGTTTTATAGCAGAAATTTCCCGAACATTTGCTAGGAAAAGCCTTTAGTCTATAGCACTAAAGGGACTCGGTAACTTCCTTAGAAATGTCTAGTTGACATTTCGCTAGCTATAAACCACGAGGCGGGTGTAACGGAGCGGGATTTATGGGCCGCCGTGTAATTGTAGCGATAATTGGCAACGGCCTTTCCCGCCCTATGCTATCCGCCATTTTGAATTGTATTAAATTAACGGAAACCACGTCGGTTTCCTTTTCTATATTAAAGGAAAACTTTTTAATTTTGATTAAACCATAAATATTTCTACAGATATAGTTTTAAATAAACTGGGGAATAATTAATACATTTTTTTAATAAATATGCGATATACTTTTGTAAATGCATTGTCCTTAAGTTTCAAAACACAGCAGGAGTTAGATGAAAACCTTTAAATTTAAGTCGGCATTGACGTAAAAGCCTTTGCGACTCGACGCATTCATTCTGTGCGTCAGTCGGCACTTGATTTGTGTAAATAGGTCGCAGTGATTTGTGCGCACAGTTCTGTGCAACTACCGAACGCACGTTGTTTAGCGAACGAAGGAATTATGATGGTTAGTGCCTCGTTGCTGCCAGCCGGTTAATAAGTCCTCATTAACTCACCGCCAACGCCAACGCAACACGGTTGCTTCTGTTCTAAGCCAAGAACTAGCTCAGAACATATTGTTTAGAACATTGTATGTTTAGTGTGTGCGGCAACTGTAGATAATATATACTACTATTATAAAGGCAGAAAATTCTTTTGTTTGACTGCTAATCTCAAAAAGTTGTAATTGGATTTAAATTATGTCTTTTCTATTTGATAGTTACTAAGGTAAAACGCATAAGAGCTTACAAAAATCACAAACTAAAAATTTGACGCAGTGATGCCATATGTAGGATGAGGCCAATGATCAGGGGAGGACAGACCCATGGTGAAGACGATTCTATGGTATGGTTACCTCGCAAGTGTCACAGGCCCGTCCGGTGACGTGTGGTCGGCAGCGGCACTGTCCCGTGCGGATATCGCACGCGTTGCCCTCCGCCCCCAGCGCGGAACAATTGCAGCCTAGAACAAATGATACACGTCTATTGGTGCAGGATAGGTAGACAGCGGTTTGTTGATCAGCCTAAGATATGATATATTAGTGTTTTTAAAAGAGTACTAAAGAGTATAGTCTGTGACTGATAAATTACCTTTCTAACGGTGAAAGAATTTTTAAAATCGGCCCAGTACTTTTTGAGTTATTTCAAAACATACAAATCTTTCCTCTTAATTAGTATAAATACGATAAAAAATACTTTGTATGTCAGTTTTATTCTGTCGTCAAATTACATATATGAATACTTTGTGTGATCATTTGGAAAATTATTTCGGACATTGCGGTACGAAACAAATAGACCAAACCACAACTAAACGATCTTCAAGGTTCTCTGTACGTGTTAAAGTAAATTGGAACGAAACGCTTGCAACATCACACATTTCATTTCTTCTCTTTGCGTCTACAAACGATCTCTAATTAATGACGCAATGAAAAGCAAACAAACGAACGGCTCGTGATCAAAGATTAACAAGTCTTTAATGTAATGATGCATTCAACGATGGTATTCAATCGGAATACAATAGTCACAAGTTTTGTTTATTTTTTAAGTCTTTAACAGGCGGTTTTTTTTAATCTTTTTAACGAAGTTTATTTTAGTGAAAAATCAATGAAAACAAAACGGAGTAATACTCGACATTTTCCATACATCTAGGTCAAGAGAATCCACAGATTAGAGCAAGAACCTTTGAATTTGAATGTAACAAGTTTTGTAAGAGGCCGTTATCAGTAAACGTTTAGCGTAACTAATGCGCCTGGGCCCTATCTTACAACTAATGTACCGACAAGGTATGGACGCGATTATACCTGAAAATCTTGATTTACGAGCGATCAGTGACATCTAGCGGACATAGTAAGATACATCAGGATCTAGGAGATATTAAAATTTTCAAAGGTTATCAGAGAAGAATTAATTCCCTTAGTAAGAATTATTTCTAGTTTATTTAACACTAGCTTTTGCCCTGGACTCCGACCGCGTGAAATTTTAAATAATAATAAAGAAATGAAAAAACATGTCATAAACTTTTCTGTAGAACTTTTTGAGATCTACAATACTTTTATACATCATTTTTATGTACTTCTAACGGTTTAGGCAACGTAAGCCGAGAGAAGTTTGTTGAATTTTGAACGCCGGCGTCCAGAAACACGTTGTTTATTAATAGTTCCTAAACATTAGTAATAATAAAATATATCCTATGTTACTCACAGATAAATTACCTTTCTAATGGTAAAAGATTTTTTAAAATCGGCCCAGTAGTTTTTGAGCCTATTCATAACATATAACATTAGTATAGAAAAATAAAGAACTAATTCATACAACAGGTCGCGGTTACTCTAAAAATATTGAAAATTTTAACGATATTTGTATAAGTACAATATGAAATCTTGCTTAACTTAAGTTCTCCTGAAAGGTATTAAAGAACCAGACTAAAAAATTCTTGTACACCATAAGGCTGTGTGTAACTGCAAACAACATAAACATGCAAAGTGGTCAAATCTGCGATTAGATTTAATTTAAAATCGTACAGCACCGTTCTCAGGCATGGCATTGCAATCTAAATAACTACGACCAAATTTAACGCTAAAAGCTTTGCGATTTAAGAGATAAACTTACTAAATCTTGCGAAAATGTCGCGCTGTTTTAGATGTGGTTTTAGGATAACTTAACATTGTATGAAAAACAACATAATATGCATCACAGACGACTTAAGAAACACCTATTTATAATACCAGTCTCATCAGTCATCACCAGATAATGATGATGGCTCACTATAAATCCCTATTGAGGTTTTTGGAGAATACAGTAACGTAGGCGTGACTAAGCCATAGTCAAACACGCTGGCCTATCTTTGAATTTTTTCGCAAACAAGTGCAGGTTCAAGGTTTAAATATGCTGTGATTGCTAAAATTTGGTTGTACATACAACATAAATTGGTTGTAACAGCAGATCTTTGTCTGTACTATTTTAATAAAGCGTAAACACTTTGTTCTTTGTTGCCTAAGATATCAGCAAATACAGCATATTTTTGATTAATTCTTGTTTTAATAAAAAACCCTACACTTACGTCATGCTTTAGGCTATAACATATTTTCACGCCATTAAACTTAGGAGGTAAATATTTTGAATAAAAATCCTAATGTGGAAAGAGACCATAAGTTGCTGCCAACATCAAGGAAGCAAGATTGCCAAGGTTTGTCATGTCATGTCATTTTGACATTTGCTATTGATAATTTGACAAATGTAAACAATCAATTAAAATTTTCAAAATTTCATGCGGATGAAGCCGCTCGGGAACAGCTTGTCGTTAATATGCATAGTTATTGATAACCAATAAGGTAAAGTAGCTTAGTTCTGTTTTATTAAATTTCTTTAGTAAATACGTTATAAGTAATTATAAAAAATATGACATTATTACAGTAATCAATCAAGTAATTATTGTAAAAAAAAATGAAACAAGAAAAAATTAGTATAGTATACTTTAATAATATTATATTTGTCTAAAATTACCGTTAGAGTACAAAATTATTGCATTATTATAGTTCTCGCAACTAAACAAGGGCTTTTCGCCTACGCAGGAAACCCGACACCACAGCACGACACGGCACGTCACCTGCCGCGTCAGCGAGTACGTGTCCATTGTTTTATGGTCGCCGTGAAAATGCCATTGTTACGAGGTTGGAGAGAAAACGTATCCTATTACTGCGTACTGATCTTTCAGGTTGATTTGTTATCAAACAAAACACGGTCACACCTTAATAACGTCGACACTGAAATTGTCAATATGAGGTTCCTCCATTTGTAAAGTCTTTTTTAAACTTGAACCTTTTTTGCTATAATCAACCTGAAGCGAGGAGTTTCACTTAAATGTACTTACAATACGAAACAACACAAGGATCGTGTAAGTACCGCTATTATGAAACGATTATAAAAATACCGGAGCGAGTCGAGATTGCTGCATTAAGTACATTGCGCGGACCGCCCACGATCATGATATTTACTGTTATACCGACGCAGCTGTGTAAAGACTGATTAAGATGTGCTACAATTAAAGCGCCCGCCGCGTCGTAGATGTTATAAAAATGCTATAAAACGATAATTATAAACAGTATGATGCTTATAAATCGATTTTATTGTTTGATACACACAGGTGTAATAACCACTACATAAGTGTAGGTTTCCACTGCAAAGACTGTTCCGATCTTTAAAATAACATTTCCACAGCTACAGTTGCTGTTCTCCGACTGTTAGCATTTAAATCATGATAGAAAATGTATAACGATAGTATCTTATTCATCAATACTATTGTTAAAGCAACGGTTGATATAAACAGCTTTGCTGGAGCGTTAAGGGATTAGTTTGTGGCACAAAGCGCGTTGCGTCCCCGCCGCGTTCCCGTCTCGTCGCCGTGTCCGATTGTATCGGGACAATTTTAAATCTCAATTTACAGCGAGCTCCGAGATGTCCGATAAGGCTGTACGGATACTGTCAGGTTATTGAACTACTCAAGTTTTATTCTGTTGTCACGCTGAGCCGCACGTGTCGCTGTTTGTCGATCCTTATCAAGAGTTTACGTCTGCAGGTGGCTTTATGATTATCGTATCATCTGTCACACAATTGTTTGATGAAAACGCTTTAAGCGATGTTTAAAGCGTGTCCGACCATTGACTGATAGAGGCTCAGATAGCTTTAAATTTACGTCACTGTCAGTAGCGAACAAAATCGGATATTTCCATCACATGTTTTACACGTTCGATTGTTTTCAGACAATTTGCAATTTGGTGGGACAGGCCCTTAGGCTATATGTTTTTGGTTCTGATAAAAGGTCAATGGAACTCATTAACGCCTTCATTTGCGCCTAAGAATCATACGTCACGTGCGCATTCACAATGGAAACGCGAAACTATCGATCATTTCTAAGAAATAAATCATTCTATACAAATCAATACGTCCTAAAAGTCAATATTTGAACTTTATGGTCACCCTAATGTTTTGCTTATTAGCATAAAGATCTTACCCAGTTTCACTTTTACCTTTAGAAGTGTCTACTAGATAGTACAATGAATAATTACATAAACACCTACGAATGCTTACTTGTCTGTTTGCAACTCAAGTGTTGGACAATAGAGGAAGATAGACGTTCTCGTACGACAGTTGGACGTAATAATTATACGCGGGTTCAGTTGACTGACAGACGGAGCGGCGACCCGGTTGCACGTCTGACGTCGGAGAGATCAATGGTTCCGTCAGGTACCGCTCACTAAAGGCCATTCGTTTTGCTTTCAATTCTACGTACAGATTTTCTGATGACTGTATTTAAGATTAAGGAATCAATTGATAATCACAATAGCAAATTATGTAAATCGGTTGCTAATGAAAATAATATAAATTAAAAATATCGTAAATCAGCTGCATTTATTTTAAAACTCATTTCGTTTCCAAGCATTAATAGTGCTTTGTCTGATAGCACACCTTACCTTCCGCAAATAGTTGACAAGTGAGATAAATGGTGCAGTCCAGTCGTTAGATGCATTATCAAGTTGCTAAATTTGCACATCATCGTTCACCACAATGACCTAAGTGAATTATGCCACTCTCTAAGTACATAAATTGTAATATTTTGCATTATATTTGCTGTCGGTTTTAGTTATTTCCATTAAGCCAGTTTAAAATCAGCATCACGACCGTTCCTGCACCAGCTGCGTTGACCGCCTTATACCACAATCTTTTCATTTTTTTGGCACTTACATTAGTTTAGAAGTAATATATAGTCGTTAAGAACGATGTCGTATACTTGATAAAATTTTAGACAATATTCATAATTCGTTTTCTTATTGTTAAGAGCCAATACTGTCACAGAAGAGGAAATTATTGCAGTAATATTGACTAACAGTAGATTATCATTTGACGTGGTCTTATACTCAGACTTCTATGTATGGGAATGTATTATTTATGTTAGCAGCTTCCTTG